ACAAAGTTTTGTGCAACAAAATCCAAGAATGTCAAATAAAACTATTTAAATTTAAAAATGAATTTTATTAATTTCAAATGGAATTTTATGAATTTCAAATGCATCTTTGGAATTTCAATGGTAGTTTCTATGAATTTCGAAAAGATATTCTATTAATTACAAAAGAAATTTTCGAATTACAACTTAAATGTTATGAATTGCAAATGGAATTCTCGAATTGTGAATTGTATGTTGTGAATTACTCGAATTATCGATTTTTTGAGAGTAAGCGGTAATCGATATGTGAAAAACTTTCTGTGGTGGTAGTTTATTAAGTAAATACGTCATTTGCTGGTGGGATTTGCTTGTAATTTTATAAAAACAAAAATAAGTTAATAATTATGAATGAAAATGTCGGAATTTTTTGCCAACTTATTGACCAATATATTTCTTTATGAATTCTGAATTAAATTGTGCTAAAATATTAATTAAACAAGTTGCACCTGCTTATTATATGTGCTAAATATAATTAATTAGGGCGTTCGTGTACAAAATTAATTTTAAAATAAAATCGATCCTGTATTATTTTTATTATCCTTTTCTGATGATAATTAATTAATTAATTTCGGAACAAAAACTCTGCAGTTTCCACCCAGGAAACCAGTTAGCAGAAATGAATTCGTATTGGGTTTGAGTCAAAGCGCAACACCTAAAATTTTTCTAGCGTTGCACAGAAAATGTTAGCAAAACATTGCACAAATTAAATCTTCTGTCTGGAGTATAATTGAGATAACAATAGGAATATTGAAGGGCCGATGGACAATTTTGGACCATTACATAATATATTTGTGGCATCACATAATATATGTTTGCAGTTTAAGGTGCAGGGGTATAACGACCCAATTTTAATTCAGATTTCATTGGACAGAGCGAATTTATTTTTAAACAGTAACTTTTCTTTTTGTGTCTTATTTTCCTTTTTGTTATCGATAGCTAATTTGGCATCGATTCATCGGAAATTACGATAGTAAGCATTCGATATCGGATGCGGTCATGGTTAGTTCGATGATTCTCGACAGAATAAACTCGAAAGTCATAATTTGACACCTGCTTGGAAGTTTCTATCGAAGATATTTGGTTCAATTCATAATGCAGCTTTTTTGTGGCCATTGCGTTAGAAGTAATTTTGCGTTGTCGGATTTGCTGTTCCATTTATCCCATAGGTGCCCTATTGGCTTCAGATCAGCGACAGTATCCAAAAGCTTAACTATATCAGCAGTTTGCTTGGGGTCATTATCCTGCTGGAAGTAGTTGTCGTACTCCAGACGCATTTTCTCGGCGCTCCACATCAAATTTTTCTTTAAAATATTAAGGTACGCATATTTATCCATGATAGACTCGATGAAATGCAATTGTCTCACGTCACTAGTAGCCACACAACCCCATATCATTCTACCGCTGCCGCCATGTTTCATAGTCGGTACCAAGTTGTTCGTATCCAGCACCGTACCCTTTATCGCAATACCATCTTGCGCCCATTGATTACAAAAAACGCAAAACTTATCTCCCTTTCTATTAAGGGAACCTCCCTCATTCTCGATTTTAAATTTTCAAGTTTTTCAATGGGCTGGTAAATCAATACCAAAGCTTGTTAAGGTTTTTAACTTTGCAGATATATATATTTGGAGATTTAAATGGAAAAGACAAATAATTTACAACATTTTTTTGTTATTGTTTTATGGGATTAAAGAAAAGTCCTTATTTTTGGTGGCGGGCATGATAACTATTCACTGGAACATCGGAATCCGAAAATGCATCGGAATCAAAAATCAACAAAATGGCAGACCTTTGAAAAAATATTTTTGGAAAATAGCCTATTTTTTACCACAAACCAAGTTAAACACTAAGGAAGATCTTGACCGATTGGATTTATCCTAGTTCATACCATAGCTATACACTCTCAGAGAAACGTCCCAAAATTTGGAATTGATCGGATTAGTTTTTGATGCTAGATTTTCACTTGAAATTTCATAGGGACGTTCTTGAATTAGTATAGATTCCAATTAAATCAGAATAAACATTTTTTGAAACCGAGAGTGGGGGATCCCCTTAACTTAAAAAAAAAACTAAAATTTATCATATTGTAATGGATATAAAATATACTGGATTTTTTAAAACTTATTTCGGGATTTTTTGTCTAATTGTATATATATATTTTGTACGCAGACTTTTTCTACTGAGTGTATATTTGTTCGATTTAAAATTAGTATATTAAGTTTTGTTGAGATCGGTTTAAACAATCTGAAACAATTTTTAATGAAAATACCAATGTACGCTTTTTTATAATTTTTTGTTGGACTTTTTAGTTTTTTAGTATATAATACGTACGTATAATACGTAAAATTAAACTACATCGTATGATAATGTCATGACATGGTGTTAAATTATTTCCGAATTATGTTTATTTCTATTTTGAAAAAATAATGATAAATAAAAATTCAGTTATAGATCAAATGACAGTACAAAACTACAAAAAAAAAATATTCTATTCAATGTGTACTTGAGCATACGTTTGTCTGTCTATACGCACATTCTTTTCCTCTATGATTTATATTATATTAAAACTATTTAAGTACATTTAGAACACTTAGCAACAAAATTATACCAATTGTAACATCCTTAGTAGTATTTTAGTTTGTTGTTGTTGTTTTTTTTTTAATTTTTATTTCACTAGATTCCCCCGAAATTTGGGGGACTGCGGGTGGGTTTCATTGATTCATTGCCAGGGTGTGTGCATCGGTGTAAACAAAAGCATCTAAAACTTTGTTCATCTATTTGTATACACAACTTGAAGTTGTAAAGTAATTCTCGATTCTTTCTTTTCTAAAGAAATTTTTATTTTATTAGTTGTTGTTGCTGTTATTGCTACCTTTTCTCATTGGGAAATTTCAAAATTTCTATAGGACAATGTTGCTTGGATGCTTATTTGCTTATACTCCTTCTTCCTCAATTTGTACAACAACATCATCCACATTATTATCATTAGCTTGAGGTTCTTCCACTCGCTCATCCGTTTCCACTTCTGTAGAATTTTGATTACATTGCTCCAGGATTTTCTCCGGTATCGAGAGTGAGCTATGCTTACGCTCAGCTAAAGCGGTTTCACTGTCAGCCTTCAACAGCGTCGAACGTCGTTCGTTTATTATCTGATCGTAGAAGTCGTTGTTCTGTTCCAAATTCCGATGATCCGATCGTATATAGAATATCGAATCATCATGTTCGGGAGCTTTTTGTACCTTGGGTCGATCATAAGTCCGTGATGAGTGACTTCGTTGCAAATTTTTAATACGTTCTTGCTGTGGCAAAGATTTAGTTAGCTCGACAATAGCAGCATTACCCATTAGTGGCAGGGAGTCAGGTCGTGGTTTTTTCAACATACCACAGTGGTTGGGTGATTTCAAATTTGTATTTGGTGGTGGGGGTGGTGGTGGATCAACGGGATTGATGGTGGTGGGTGTTGTTGTCAGCGATGACAGGGAGTCGGTTGGTTTCAATTGTAGTGCTTCGTCGTAATGTTCTAGTCCCTCTTCGGGCAGACATGGTTCTAAACTCGACTGACCGGAGAGTTGTCTTATTGGGGCAGGTGGTTCGGAGCATACTGAAAGTTGACTTCTGCAAGGAAAATATATACATAGGCATACATACATTAATAGATATATATATGTGTGAGAAATTTAAACAACATATTGCGATACGTAGAGCGGGTACGAAATAAGAACTAGAAGGGTACGAAAAGTAATACAATGTACTTAATATGCCCTAATATACCCTTTGTATTGGGTATATTGAAATTCGAAAGGGCAATCGATTTCTTGGTCCCAATTTATCACGGTTCATCGTATATGTTAATATTTAAATAAAGATAAGCAAATCCGAACTTTAAACAAGGCTTGGGATGTCAATGGAAAAAAGCGCCCACAGTCTTCAAAATACCGTAAATTGTGGAGGGATATTTTCTACGAAGGCTATGCTAAAATATTGCTATGCCATAATATGGGCCTATATCAAAAACTTTCTATAAAGAAGTTCCGATCAATTTTAGTTATTTTGAATGTTCATCTCAAGATGATAATAGATCGAAATGTCCGAACTTAAAACTTGGAATATCGTAAATATGGAGGGATCTTTTTATGGAGGCTTTGACAAATTATGTACCTATATCGAAACCAATGTTGTTTTTCACGGAATGCCAGTTAAAGCCACTTCGCCACAGCCACAACATACGGCTGGAACCTTCAAAATATCAAAAATCGATCGGGACCTTTATAAGAACCTCATATCATGACAAATTTATATGGGTTTTTCAAGTTCCCCACTTTTTGCCTGAACATAACAAAATTCACTTACCGAAATTCTTTCTCCACCGATGGCGTTGCCGAAGGCCCGGAACAGTAACGTTTGGGGGAACGTAATATTGACTTGGGCACCACCTCTGGACTATGCAAATCGACTTGTATACGCCTCGAGTCTATACTGGAGGCTCGACTTACAATTGACGTTCGACTCGCGATTGACGAACAACGGACCGTCCAGCGGCCACTATACGATGAATCCGACATTGTGGAACATCTGTAATGAAATAATGAAAGAAAAACGGGAAAACCGCAACATAACGCATGGATTTTAGTGAACTACTGATCAGGGGGGAGAGGATATAAACGCAGTTGCATTACATTTACCTTCGATTACCCAACGGACTCGTAACTATTGCTTTATCCTCCTCATGCTCGATGGGTTTCTGACGGGCCAGCACGTGTCGCTTGGCTGTGTCCGAACGTTTTGTTCGCTCCGCCACCCGCTCCCTTTGCTTTTCGTTGGCCACTCGGCAACTTTCGTCGAACGAGGCGGCATGGTGCCAGAGCAGTTTGTTGTTGGCCGGCGGCGGCTGCAGCAGAGCACACTGTATCGATGACGTGCTCTCTCGGGTGGCTCTTTGAATTAAACTATTACTAATACGAGTACCACGATTTTTGACCTGGCGCCCACTGTTGTGTGACGCCGTTGTCGGTTGCGTGAATGTGGAGGTGTTGTTGGTGGTGGGATTTGAGTTGGAGGCATTGGTTGCAGGACGTTGATTGTGGTGCGAGTGATGGTTGTGGTGATGGTGGTGATGATGGCGATGGGTTCGATGCCGTTTGTGTTCCGCCAACAGCAGGGTTTTGTGATTCGGCGAGAGTAAATGTGATATATTAGTGGAATAGGCGAGTGTTGATGAGGAGGCATGATGGGTGGAGAGGTTAGGCACAGAACCAGTGTAGGAGATACGTCTCAGTTTTGGTGAAAAGCGAGCAGATGCACTAATTCGTGTTGCGGATTTTTGTAATTTTGCAATAAAACATGTTTTCGATTAAAATAGTTTATGGAGTTTTTGGATGGAGGAGTTTTAGTTTTTTCTTAGCGTATGATTTATATTTGAACTATCGAATTGTTGGGTAATATTTGGTAATTACAACAAAAATATTCTCCAATTTTTATATGTTTTTGTATCTTTTTATACAAAGCAAACGAAAGCGTGGAAGAAGTGAAAGAGATTAGATGTTTTGGCTTGTGACTTACCTCAGGGTTTTAGAGAATTTTATTAATTCTGCCGTTAGAGCTTCACGATCGAAGGGCGCGGGTGTTGCCTGTGGCTGTTCTGTAGCCGGTGATGAACGAAAAACACCAAATTGTTGATCCCATCGTGTCGTTTGGTATTGAAGACCTTCGAAGAGATTAAAAAAATAGCAAAGTAAGACGATTGATATGTTATTCACATGGAATTTTATATTTAATCTATATCTATTTCAGAAAATTTGGAGCCAATTTACAAATGTCCTTCTGTCCATTGTCTGTCTGGCCGGCTGGTGCGCACCATAACCCTCGAAGGGAATAATCAAATTCATCCAAACTTTGAACATCTTATTATTTCCTCCAAACTTGGTTTAGGTTTGAAGATGGGTACCACTCCTTCTGGTACCTTCCACACAATATAGACAATATTGTGCAAAAAATCCTGTGTGGAACACCGAAGACCTTCTCCGCAAACCATAGGGCATATATCTGTCGGCATAGCCGACCGACACTTTTTTACTTGTTTTTATTTTATAGCACAAAAACTTACCTATTGCACGCCTTTGAGATGCCGAACTACTTTGATTGCTACGCACTGTAATTTTACTGCCATTGACACCGGCTCTGAAACGTGCCGGTACCACTTTCGCCGCTGAATCTCTCGCCTCAAATGTCATGACACACGATGCGACGACAATAAAGCCACCAAAACCCATAACAATGGGTCCCACATATGAAAAATTATTCAAATGAAATCCTTTCAGATCATTTTTAACGCGAACTGTGGCATTGCCACGTAGTTCGGAACCGATGGATAAATAGTCAGCATAGTAACCTGCATCGGGTGAAAAAATATTATTATTTAAACAAAAAATTAACACACAGATATAAACATAAAACATTTTATTTGCAGGGGGTGTTAATTTTCAGGGGAAATTAAATTATATTATTTAAATAATTTTTGTGTGTTAAATAATTTATGTATATGTGAAGCTTTGCATATGACAACAATTCAAAAACTCTCACAACTCCCCACACTCTGGCCAGCAAAACATTAAACAAATGAGTTTTCATATTTCCCCAGCTATTCGATGAAACAAAAACTTAAAACATGTTGGAAAAAGTGATTATGTAAATTGTTAGACACTTACCTAATGTTGCCATTCCCGCGCCAAGCAGCAGCAATGTCACACCCAAAATCAGGGCTCGACATGCATGCCACAGGCATTTCGATGACATTTTTCCACGCACCACCTGGACATTCCATGTTGCACCTGAGGCTGGATGTGCACGACGTAAATTACCCAACGAATGTTTGCGTCGTTTGCTGGCCGCACTACCGGCAGTACGCCGGGAAGGCATTACATCGGGTTCAGAGTGTATCTGCTAAACGGTTGTTGTAATGTGTTGAGCACCCTTGTTGTTATGTTGATGTTTGAAGTGTGTCCTGATATGAATATCCTGTCAATGTAATATAGACATACATGTTTAGGGTTTATTACATTATTTGCGGTGTATTTATGTGTGTGTGTGTGTCTGTTTTTCATGGAATCGGAAAAATTTGCAATCGGGTATTTTATTTAGATTTCTTGGAGGCAATACCAAAATTGACGTCAATAATTATTCATAACTCAAATTACCATGGTAATGATAATCTAAAATAGGATTACAATAAATCAGAACAAATCAATACTATTAAAAAAATTAGTTTTTAAGGACTATCATAAGTGCGGATTTTTTAAAAATATTTTTTCAAGGACTATCATAAGCGTGGATTTTTTTTAAATAGTTTTCAAGGACTATCATAAGCGTGCACTTTTTACAAAATATTTTTTCGAAGACTATCATAGACGTGGATTTATTAAAAATATTTCCAATTACTGTCATAAGCCTGGATTTTTTAAAATATTTTTTTTCAAGGACTATCATAAGTGTGGATGTTTAAAAAAAATTTTCAAGGACTATCTAAGCGTGGATTAAAAAATATCAAAGACTGTCAGACGCATGAATTTTTTAAGAAATATTTTTCAAGGACCAAACTAAGCGAGAATTAAAACAAATTAAGAACTTTTATTTCAAAGGACTATTACAAGGCATGGATTTTTGTATAAAAAAATATTTATGCAAGGACTGTTATGAGGCGTGTTTTTAATATTTCCTAAAGGAATTATAATGAATTTTTTAAATATCGGATTATTATAATGCGTAGATAAATAATTCCATAGGATTATTATAAGGCCTGTTTTTTTAAAGATTTCTATATTCGGGTTTTACCACACTGTGGTTCAGGTATTATGTATTTGTGCATATGTTTGTAACAGGCAAAAGGAAACGAGATAGATACATGGTTCCTTCGGAGGATATGCATAGAATCACTTTCTAAATTGATCTATGCATGTCCGTTCGTCTGTCTGTCTGTTCAAGTTAAATTCTAAAAAAAGTACAGGTCGCAATTGAATGGTCCGAATTGAATGAAATTTCGTAGAGGTCACTTAATTGGCCCAAGGACGAACCCTATTGAAATTGGGAAAAATCGGTTCAGATTTAGATATATCTCCCACATATATGTATATATATATTTGGATTTGGACGAAATTTGGCACAGCGTACAAAACTTAATCTAGAATGACGTGTACTAAGATTTATATATAGCTCCCATATAATTTTTCGCCCGATTTTAACTGAACCGCTCGGTTCAGATTTAGATATAGCTCCCAAATATATTTTCCTTCGACTTTATGTAAATTGTGCACTAAAGACCCAAAGTTTGTACGATTGACACATAATTTTGTGTAGTGTACTGAAGTTAATAAAAATAAATCTCTGGCAAATTTCATTGAAATCGATTCTGATTTATATATAGCTTCCATATATACTTTCCTTGGAGTTTAGGTAAATTTTGCCCCGCTTGACACGAAATTTTGCTCGACGTATCAAATTGAGACTAGAATGACGTTATTGCGTTTTACTGAAAATGGTGCATATGCAGACACAGCTTCCATATATGTATATATTTCAAATGGTTGTCTGATTGTGATTAAATTTTGAAGAGTGAGGCCTACCGAATAGCTTGTATCAAGTTCGCTCTGAATCGATTTACATAAATTTGTCCCATTGTACGCAAAAGACTCTAAACTTGACCGAATGAAATGAAATTTAGCATAGATTCCAGAAAGGCATAAATATCGCATATTTGAGTTCGTTCAATTTCATGTCAATGTTCTTTCGAAAGGGCGGAGTCTGTTAGGAGACATATGTAAAATATACCCAAAGTGGTGAAGGGTATCATATCGAGCCATATTCGCAAAAAAAACGTAACCCTCAAATTTAAAATTTTACCGGAGAAGGTTTGTTTTAATAAATTCAGATTTAATAGTCAACCAATCAATTTTGGTAATACGTGCAAATTTAAAAAAAAACGTCCTTATTGCTTTATTGTTTTTCAAAATATTCATTTAACATGATATTTGTCTGTCATTTAGTTTGATGTGCAAATATCATTTGACTTTTAAATTCTTTGGATCAAACATTACAACTATTTATATATGTGTGTATGTGAATGTTTATAGCAATTCAATAATATATGAAATATGTATAAAATTTAACATATAATATATATATATATATATACTAGCGAGCCCGGCAAACGTTGTCTTGCCTAGCAATATTGTTGATGTATATTTTTTTAGATTTGTTTTTAATACATTGGTATTTACCAGAGCACACATAAAGAAACATTTTAGTACTGAATTTCTACAATTTGATGTTTTTGAGCGAGTCTTCTTTCTATTTTTTGCCTTCTAAAGATTTGATGGATATACATTTATTAATATTTGAATTCGTGGAAAAATTTAAATTTGAAGGCACATATAAATTTGACTTTCGGATTTAATTAAATTTTCCCAATATATATCATTTCCAGATTAAATGAAACCTTTTACAAATTAAATGAAACCTTTTCCAAATTAAATGAAACCTTTTCCAAATTAAATGAAACCTTTTCCAAATTAAATGAAACCTTTTCCAATTGAAATGAAACCTTTTACAAATAGAATGAAACTTTTTCCAAATTAAATGAAACCTTTATTCTTATCTAAGGAAATATGATATTTGCAGTAATTTTAAACCAATATTTGAAAATTAAATCAAAGAATATTAACAAATATAGTTGTATGGCTATGTAATTAACATAAATATTCTTTAATTCGGTGTGATTTCATTTAATATCTTTACTAAATAAAACTAAATAAATAGTAATACAAACAGGGGTATTTCTTGACATTTTAATAAATAAATATTTAAGAACAAAAATTGAAAACCCGGTCCTAAATGCGAAATACACATTTGACTTAATAAATTGTTGATGATAAGGTAACTGCTAATCTTAATGAAGGGGTTCCCGACTTGCAGCTTGTGGGATTTTCAAAACCATGTCCATAACGTAGTTAGAACAATCTTGCCGAGTAAGCTTTTGAATACTTCGCTCCATTACATCAACAATGTTATGTTCCATTGAAACGTCGCACGTTAAAGTTTTAGCCAATGATTCAGATGTCGTGTGGGGTATATGGCTCGGCATTATTGTGCGTTTTAAGGCCACCTTATTTATAGACCATATTTTGCATAGTCTGATTATAGGTACTTTTAAAGTAGTAACAAATACCCTATAAATTGCCTTTAATTTGGTATTTCATGTAGGGTAAGGAACTTCTCTGTAAATTGTCGGTATAGTACTTTATGGTATATGTCCCACATAATGATAAGCATATCGATCTAGCCGTCCCTTCAAAATATGCTTTTCAAGATTTTCGCGTATTTTTCTCAATTTTTTCTTTCATAAAAACCTTCTCACTTTAATTACAGATAACAGAAAAAAAATTTTAGTCAAACCGGTCCCGCCGTTCTCAAATTGATGAGCTACTATACGTTTTTTACATCAATTTTATAAGTAGATTTAATTTTTTTTGTACTTCAATTTGAAAAGTTATTCTTTGTTTGGTTTGACTCCCACGCGCTATTCACGAAAACAGGTTATGTATGAATTGGTGTCGGAATACTTAACATCGATTAATCACCCAATCTCTAATCCGGCAAAACGCATAGAAACTATATAGCGCGCCATTTGTCAAACGATGTTAAAATTAACTCAAGAACTTGAATTACGGTACAAAAACACAAAAAAAAAATAAACAAAATTTCAAACTACACAGAAACACTCCTCACGCCCCTTAGAGTCTGTACATACAATTTGGTCAAAATCGGTGCAGTAGTTTTTGACTTTAGCGATCACGAACACACACGTAATTTTTACATAGAGAACAGATACATATATTCAAATGGAATCTTTTAACATATTTCTGAACATCATGGCATGGCTAATATGTTATTCTAAAACCCGATCGCCATGAAATTGATGAATATTGTACGATTTCATGTAAGTACTGCTTCATAACGTACTGCAAAAAGTCTACAGCGACATGAATTTGTAGAAAAGCCCTTGCATATATAGGTTCTATATATAATTTCGTGCCACAAACCACACCTTCTGAATAAAACGTAGACAACGACTCCATCTAGCATCAAAAATTGCAAACTGAATAAATGACATGTAACTTTTTTGAAAATGTAATTTTAGTGAAAGTTTTTTTCAGATATAAATAGGTAATTTATTCATATAAGCGCAAAATTTATTTGAAAATAAAAATATATAATGGAAATCTAAATTGACCCAGCCAATGTTTAACATGTTTTTGTGTAAGTAAACAAGCGATGGGAACTATAACGTTTTCCAAAACATTCATGTAGACAATCCGATCCATTACTTCATAAATCTATAAATAGATGGAACTCCTAAAAGAGGTCAAGTGAAAAAATCGTTAAGTTCTACCGGTTAAAACTTTGGATACACTCCACCATAGGTTTACCGACAGATACTTGCAATGAAAATATAGGGAACATACCAAAAAGTGGACTATACCGATAATTCTACATGTACACCAAATAAAAATGTCAGCAAATTTTTAATGTGGATTTTTCCTAAATTCTGAAAACCCAAAAACGTGGACTGATACTGATAACGTATGGCAGAATAAAAAATCTTTAAACTACTGCAATTTAAATTGCAAAGTTATATGAGGCTATGCCTAAAGGGGACCGATATTGATTATGTTAGTGTAGGAATTAGCGAATATTTGGGCTATGCCTAAACGTGAACCGATATATGAAAAATTTCAGTACGGTGATTACAGACGGACCGACAGGTAAGTCGATCTAGCCGACTTAGAATTTTACCCTGATTAAGAATATACATACTTTATAGGGCCGGAAATTATTATTTCGATGAGTGAGAAACGGAAAAACGAAATGAATATATCCT